ACTCCTAGCGCCTCCACGACAAGCAGCTCCAGTAGCACGACTCCTCAGGCGGGTACGCGACGCAAGCCACTCGCATGCCTGCTGTGGTGAGACAGGCCCGCGTTGTGAAACGAGACCCAGAGGAACGCCAGCAGACTCAGCACCCCCAGCTCTAGGGTCGACAACACCTGCTCCAGGGCCTCCAGCCCCAGTACCTCCAGAAGCAGCACCCCCAGAGCCGACATCTCCAGCTCCAGGAGCAGATGCGGTCCCGGCAGCTCCAGTACCTCCAGTACGAGCACCTCCAGGACCAGAGACACCAGCACTCCTAGCGCCTCCACGACAAGCAGCTCCAGCAGCACGACTCCTCAGGCGGGTACGCGACACAAGCCAATCTCGTGCCTGCTGTGGTGAGACAGGCCCGCGTCGTGAAACGAGACCCAGAGGAACGCCAGCAGACTCAGCACCCCCATCTCCAGGGTCGACAGCACCAGCTCCAGGGCCTCCAGCCCCAGTACCTCCAAAAGCAGCACCCCCGGAACCGACACCTCCAGCTCCAGGAGCAGCACTAGTCCCGGCAGCTCCATTACCTCCAGTACGAGCACCTCCAAGACCAGAGACACCATCACTCCCAGCGCCTCCACGACAAGCAGCTCCAGCAGCACGACTCCGCAGGCGGGTACGCGACGCAAGCCACTCTCGTGCCTGCTGTGGTGAGATAGGCCGGCGTCGTGAAACGAGACCCAAAGGAACGCCAGCAAACTCAGCACCCCCAGGCTACGCACCCCCCGGCACCTCACGGACGGGCTCAGCACCCCCAGACTCCGCAGCCGCAGGCTCAGCACCCCCAGGCTCCGCACTCCCCAGCACCTCACGCGCAGGCTCAGCACCCTCAGAAGCAGCACCCCTAGCAGTACCTCCCGCAGCAGCACCTGAGTCGCTAGTGACCTCTACAGGCTCAGCCAAGGGGGGCGGGTCTACCTGAGACACACCTGAAGGAGCAGGACCCGAGGCGGGAGGGGGTCTACCGGAGGAGGACCTGGAGCGAGGAAAAGCGGCGGAGGAGGGAGAGGGGCAGTGCGGTAGGGGAAGAGACAGTAGAAAGGAACCGACTCGTCAAAGGTGACGTCCTGAGAGGGGAAGACACGGCGCGAGGTGGGGTGGTAAAACTGCCAGCCAGACGCGTCAGGGACAAAGCCAAGGAAGACACAGGGAATGGTGCGGGAGGAGAGCTTGTCCGCAGACGTATCACGGACAAGAGCACAAGCACCCCTGACCCGGAAATGCGACGAATCGCCAACCTCCCCTGTCCAACACAGTGTGGGCGAGGTCTCTGGTAAGGAGACACGGGGCCAGAGGTTGAGCTGCTGCGCGGCGTACCGGACCGCAAACAGCCACAGAAAATGGGGAGCCGCAGCATGAATAAAAAAGGTACGAGCGACCTCCATGACTAAGCCAATGCGGCGCTCAGCAACCCCATGTTGTTGTGGTGAGCCCGGAAGCGTGAACGACTGCTCGATGCCCTCCCCCTGACAGAAGGCCTGCAAGAGGTCGGAGGTGAACTCACCACCTCTGTCAGAGTGCAGACGCAGGACAGGAAGGTCCTTGCGGAACCTGCGGCGGAGCCGGAGACAAACTGCTCGGATCCAATGTATCAGGACAGCAGGGGCCTCACCCTTGGTGCGCAAGGGGAAGACCGTGGTGTACCGCGAGTAGTTGTCGACAACCAGCAGAAAGTATTGCTCACCGCCCTGTCCACGAACACGGGCTGGGCCCCACACGTCCAGGTGGAGGGTCTGCAGAGGAGCCTCTGTCGGGGGAAACGAGGAGGAGTGAGGAGCGGCGCGCTGCCACCCCTCTACGCAAGGAAGGCAGGGCGGCGCATGTGAGGCTGGGAGGGGAGGGAGAGACCTGGGAAGACCAGACACAAGGAGGCGACGGTGCATGCCACGTAGACGCGGCAAGGAGGGGTGACCCAGACGGTGGTGCCAGAGAAGAGTCTGGTGTGACAGGGAGCGACACTCACAAGGGGAGGCTACCTGACCTGACGCAGACACCTGACCAGTAACAGCTACCTAAGGAGGCGCAGTCGTCAGTGTGTAAAAACTCAACCCTGGCCGACGGGTAAACGTGGCCAGGTGGCGGCCGGTCTGGGAGCACGTACAGATCGCCACACGCTGTCCTCCAGGAGTAAAGGTGTCAACCCACTGGTCCTGGAGAACTGCGTTGCTCATCAAATTCATAGAGAACGAGGGGAGGCGGAAGCCTGCCAGTGAGCCAGACGGAACCGCCGAGCACGGAAGCACAGTGGTGGACCGTGCAAGAACTCGGCCCCCTGAGGGGTCAGCCAGAGAGAGTGCAACAGGTGCAGTGAGTGGTGTGAGTGCAGTATTGTCACGAAAGAAACAGCGGGAAGCACTGGAGTCAAGCGTGAAGGTGTGCAAGGCCTCAGCAAGCGCAGTACATGAGGAAGCAGACTCGCTAGCACCTAAGGCAGCAGCCTCACTAGCACCTAGAGCAACAACCTCTATACCGGGGTCGTACTGCACGCACAGGTGACAAGTACGCTCAGCACCACCAGGCAAAGCAGACATGGCAGTAAGGATCGCGTCATAGTCTAAAGCAAAGACAGCAACGCCCGACCTAAGCAGCTCAAGCCAGGGGGGGGATCTCAGCCTCGTCGCCAAACTCTGTGCGCCAAGCGTTTGTCGAATAGGCGAAGCAGCGGGACTGTGCGTGACCAGGTGTCCCACAGGTCTCACCAGCTCGACGACCTGTGCGAATGACGTACGGGCAGCGACCCGGACTCGGAGACGGCCCACGCTGGTAAAGCCTCTCATGAAGCTGCCGGGGCGTAAGGGCCGGGCGCCGCCGTTGCTGCATCTGGCCACCGCCAGACACTCCGCACCAAACAGCGCCACAGTGTCCGCTACTACGGCCGCCACCACTCCCACTACTGCCACCACCGCTGTCACCACTCCCACCGGTATGTCAAAGGGAAGTCATGGCGGGCAAGCTAGGAGGAGCGCGACCTCTAGGGCAGTACGGAGTGAAGGCAGTAGCACGAGTAGCAGCAACAACAGTAAGAGCAGCAGGGCGGCGCGCGGACAGAGCAGGGCGGTGCGCGGCCACACCAGGGCAGCAGCAGGGAATAGCTCCTAGGGCAGAAGCACCTAGGGCCTTTTTTTTTAATAATTATTTAATTTTATTTAGGGTTCAGCAGGGCGCTGGCGCAGGGAAGGGCTCCAGCGCGCGCAGGGCAGGGCGCTGGCACAGGCTGCCGTAGGCGCGCGCGCAGGGCCGCAGCACGGGCGTAGGGCGGGGCGCAGGCGCAGGGCAGGGCGCAGGCGCAGGGTAGGGCGTTGGCGCAGGGCAGGGCGCTGGCGCAGGGCAGGGCGCTGGCGCAGGGCAGGGCGCTGGCGCAGGGCAGGGCGCTGGCGCAGGGCAGGGCGCTGGCGCTGGGCAGGGCGCTGGCACTGGGCAGGGCGCCGGCGCAGGGCAGGGCGCTGGCACAGGGTGACGCCAGGCAGGGCAGGGCAGGGCATGCGCTAGGCAGCGCGACGCGGGGCAAGGCAGGGCGTGCGCGGGGCAGTGCGACGCAGGGTAGTGGGGTAACGCGGTAACCACAGTCGGAAGCTAAGTATGGTGGGCCCGAAAAAAAAAACGGTCCTGCGGACCTACTGCTCTGAAACCATGTCAACATAACAAGCAGGGATGTTGCATTGAATGAAATGTGGGTACAAGTACTAACCCTAACTTAGGGTTGTTTGTACCCCATATGGGCTACCCCACTATAGCCTACACAGAACTAACACATATATAGTTTGACACATAAACCCCACCATATCATCTAAATATAGTTCAAAACTGTAGCTAGATATACCACCTCTGTATGCCCTCATCAGTGACTTGTTCGATTTTTTATAGTTGGCATATCACGTTGTGCTTCAAGTTTATTTCTACAATAAAATTACTGCTTCTACATCATTGTATTTCCTAGTGAGTCAAATGCGCAATCTTTATGGTTCTTCTGGACCTTTAGGCTGAAGTGGTAGAGGTGATAGATTAGTCACCCAAGTAAGAAGCTAGGCTCTTATTATAATCCTGAAAAAAAATGGATTTGTTTGATCCATATGTTATGGAGAAACGTGTACCGTCCAAAATAAAACAGGCTCATCGAATTGCTCCACACCACAACCCAAATGGAATGCTGTGAATGCAATTGAGTCATTCAACAACGAGTTCTGGTCGGTTCGGCGTGATGAAGACGTGGGTTCACAATGCACATCATTGTCACATGCAGACGACGCGCTGACTTGCCATGGCCTATGCTCTAGCACTCCCTCTCCTCGCGTTTCCCATTCCATGTGCTCCGTTGTCGATTCGCGCGTTCGGATGTGCACATTGTGCGCCCGTGTTAGCAAGAGTGCCAAGCGCACTACCCTTCCTGCCCGGAAAATACGCGATGTGCCTCGAGTCGAGTGGCCGTTGGCCCTCGAGTGCCCCTCGAAATGGCGCATCGCACGCGGGCAGGCAGGCTGCGGTCGTGATGCTGCCCCGCCACGCGCGCCACTCGTCCCTTCCGCGGATATCATCTTCTTTTGCCCGCATGCGCTATTATCTTCTCTTCACGGTTCGCGGAGGGAGGAGGCGAGACGATGATAGGAGTTCTCGAGTTGAGTTCTGAGTAATCCCTCAGCGAGAGTCGCATATCCAATGTGCCGGAGGTGAGCGCGCCCTACCTGTTGTAGTGGATTCCGGTGTCCAGTGTCCCGGAATCTCGCATACCGCGAGGGAAGAGCGTTCTTCGAGGTTCTCAAGACGGTCGCATTCCGAAGGAGTGTTCTTTCATTTGAGGTTTTTTGAGGCTCCGAATTCGAGTGGAGCGCGTGGCGAGAAATCAAGCAACACTCCCTCCCCATTCTGTGAGAAGGTCGTACTACGCTGCACCTGCCGCCTGCTTCGTCATGCAGCCCAGCAGCAGCAGCAGCAGCAGCGGAGGCGCAGGCGTAGACGCTGGGATGCGCGGGGTGGAGAGGTGCGCGTTTGTGCTGGTGGAGGGCAGGGAGGACCGCGCGCATGTGGCGCTCCCGCAAGGGGAGAGCGCGCAGGCGCAGGGGGAGGCAGACGCGGCGGCGCAAGGGCGGAGGAACACAGTGGAAGTGGTGGCGGCGCTTGCGCTCATCACTCGCCTCTCCTCTGGTACTGTCGCAAGCCTCTCCTCTAGTACTGTCACAAGCCTCTCCTCTGGTACTGTCGCAAGCCTCTCCTCTGGTATCCTCTGGTACTGTCGCTAGCCTCTCTCTTACAGCTTCTGCTCCCGTTGTAGTCCCCCTTGCTGCTTCGCCCGCTCCTCACCTTCCCCTGCACCACTCTGTGCGGCCCTCTGCCCTTCTCCTGCTCACCTCCATTCCTCCGTCCCCTCTCCCTGCGCCCCTCCCTGCCTGTTTTTTACACTCCGCTTTACTCAACAGGCACGAACGGGGCAGCAGCGCAGTGGCAGCAGGAGCTACAGCAGGTGCTGCTGCAGCCGCACTGCTTGGCGCGCCCTCGGCGAGTGCTGCTGCTTGTGCCCACGGAGGCGCAGCAGCAGGCGGCGGCCAAGGCATGGGGCCGACTGCAGAGGCAGCAAGGACGACAGCAGGGAGGGCAGCATGGACTGGGCCAGCAGGGAGGGGGGCAGGGCAGGCAGCAGGAGGCAACAACAGGCGCTGCCAGTGGAGTGGTGGTGGGTGTGGAGGTGGTGGGGTCACGGCAGTGGGACCCGTCTCGCCCTGCTGCGTTTGACTTGGCGCTGCTGACAGCCGTGTGCGCTCCACCCACCTCGCCTCCCTCCACACACGCCGTGCACTCCCTCTGGCCACCCGCAAGGTCCGTGAGTCGTGGGGGTTGCATGCATCACGTCCTGTCACATCTCATCGTATCGCATCTCGTTGCATCCCATCGCATCGTATCGCACCGTCTCGCAGCATCATTCGTACCCACGTGAGATGGGTGGTAATGAAATGGACGCAGTGCCCCAAGTTGCTCTTTGGCACCGCCAACATCTATTGTCACTCGTAATGTTTTTCTCAAGTCATTAAAAAATTGCTTCCTCACACAGTAATTTTATATTCTGACTAAAGAAATCCCTCTCTGTAGCCACGGACATGTTCTCTCACTCATAATGCATGCCACATGCATTGTGCTTCGTGCCTAAATGCATCCGTACTTTTATCCCTCTTCTCCTTGCACGTCCAAACCCCAGAATAATGGCTCCTCATAGCATGATGTCATCATGTTCATGGGTCATGATGATTCATCATCATGCCACACATGGCCATGCACCCCCATGAGCCAATTCTTAAAAACCAATTGCTCACACACGCTGCCATGCATGCACCCCCATGAGCCAATGCAGGATCCGAGCTGCCCTAGCAGCCCCTGCACGCGCCCTTCTCATCCTGGGCCACGCATGCACGCTCTCAGCTGGCAGTGACACGTGGCGCCATGTCATTGGTGGCGCAAGGGCGCAGGGCAGGTTCTTAGACTTGGAGCAGTGTGATGCGGCCATGGGGAGGGCCATTCGAGCGAGGCGGGCGGCAGTGGATGACATGCGGTACATGCTGCAGCATGCCAGAGGCGAGGGGCGTGTGGCGGGCGAGGGGAGTGGTTCACATGGGTCCATGCACTGGCATGATCTTCCATGGACGGTATGAGGCTCGTGGCAACTGCCATGTTGCGTGGTTGTGCGCTCACATGGCTGTAGTAGCCCGTGGTCTGACATGGTTTGAAGGGTGCTTTATTCTCATTCCTAGTTAGGGGGAACACATGGATCATTCCCGGACCTTGGCCCACCCTCCTTCCCCGCGCTCCCAGCCGTACCTTCCCCACTCGTGCATCCCTGTGCCTCTTCTTCCTCTCTCACTTCTCATCCCCTTCCTGTTTCCCCCCCCACACCGTCTGCCACTCCCCTGCCGGCAGGGTTTATTTTCGCCGGAATTCGGGGAGGCCCTGCAGCGGCAGCAGTCAGTGGAGGTGGTGCTGCTGCTGTGGCGCATCCTGCAGGGCCGGCATGGCAGAAGGGACGCCAAGGGGGTTGCGTGCTGGGTGGAGGGGCGAGGGCAGCAGCAGCAGGACGAGGTGTCACGGGTGTTGGATGACATCGTGCATGTGGACGTGGTGGGCGATGTCTGTCTCATCTGGTCCACCGATGTGTGCCATGACAGGCACAAGCAGGTGAGGCGCGAGCGAGCAGGTGAGGCACAAGAGGGTGAGGCACAAGAGGGTGAGGCACAAGAGGGTGAGGCACAAGAGGGTGAGGCACAAGAGGGTGAGGCACAAGAGGGTGAGGCACAAGAGGGTGAGGCACAAGAGGGTGAGGCACAAGAGGGTGAGGCACAAGAGGGTGAGGCACAAGAGGGTGAGGCACAAGAGGGTGAGGCACAAGAGGGTGAGGCACAAGAGGGTGAGGCACAAGAGGGTGAGGCACAAGAGGGTGAGGCACAAGAGGGTGAGGCACAAGAGGGTGAGGCACAAGAGGGTGAGGCACAAGAGGGTGAGGCACAAGAGGGTGAGGTATTGTGGTTCAAGTTTGCATCAGTTCAGTGGCCTCGTTCACCTCTTCCATCGCATTCGAATGAGCTCCCGTTTTCCCATCCGGATCAGCACAGAGTGCCCGCCCGGGACCGACTCTCAGGCTGAGAGTCTCAGCATCATGCCACCTCTCTCCTTCTCCCTCCCCTTCCCCTGCAAGCAGGTGGTGCGGCTGTGGGCGCTCGTGCCGGAGAGCCAGTGCCAGCAGAGACTGCATCGCATCTGCATGCATCTCACCAGCTACTCGCCTGCCTACCTGCACTACTGCGCGCTGCACCAGTACCAGCCCTCGCCCCCCTTCCTGCGCGTGCCAGCCGTGGTGCAGCAGCCCAGCGTGCTGTGGTTTAAGCCCCCCTCAGGTGGGACTTGGCACATCCCCTATCCCATGCGCTCTGCTCCTGTCCAGTCAGGCAGAGGGCAGATTTTGTCTCGGGTTTGGTTCGAATTTCAATTGGTTCGTGACAGGCTTGTCCACTTTCTGCCTGTCATTGATTCACTTTTGACTGTGGTGTGATCAAAGGATTCTGACGTCTTGTTGTTGTGTGTCCTTCCCCAGTGGCTTTGTTTGTCTGTTTGACACATACCCCATGATGGCGGGAGGGAGGGACTGTGGGAACGAACGTAAGAGTGATAGGGAGGAGGCATAACGACAAAGGTTGAAGTTGAGCTTCCTTTCGTTCTCCCACCAAGCAGAGAGCACCAAAGCAGCAGCAGCAGCTGCAGCGCAAGTGGACGTGGTGACGCCGCCCAAGTTCATAGTGTTACAGCCGGCCATGGCGCTGAGTCTGCTGGGCGAGGGCGGTGGTGCTGCTGCGTGTGCGCTGAGCAGTGTGCCGTTTGAGGTGAACGCAGAGGAGAGTGCCGCCATCCTCTGCCCCTCCAGCCTTGTCGTCCACGGCCGATCCGGTGGGTCAACTGCGGTCAATCTGGGTCAAACAAGGTTGATGTCTAGTCACCCAGTCTTGAATGGTACCTTTGCTCGTAAGGTAGCTTTTGACTCGTGTCGTTCCTCCGCCCACTCGCATCATACCCTTGACTTGCATCATTCCCGCTCTGACTGCGACTACTTTCCTCATTCCGAACGAAATCTTTGGACTCAGACTTTTGAGGCGCCCCAAGAGTCATTCCCGCTCTGATTGTGATTACTTTCCTCATTCTGAACATAGCATCAAAGCAGGCATACCGCCATGGTGCCTTGGCATCCGTGTCAGCAAACACTCAACACCCCCTTCATTCATTCCCTTTAAACCAACACTCAATACTCTTTGCAAACATCCAAAACGGTCGCCTCAAAACATCGACGCCTTTTTGCTCTGCCCGACCCATAATGCACCCATCCATCCTCCCTCGCAGGCACCGGCAAGACCACAGTGATCATCCACCGGGCGTTGCGCCTCCATCGCCTCTTCTGCCACTCCATTATCCCTCCGTCCTCCTCCTCCTCCACTTCCCACCGGCCCTCCCCATGGGGGGGATTTTGTTGGGGGGAGGCGACAGATCTGAAGGAGGATGGAGTGGGGGGCGTGGGTGGCAGAGTAGGCAGCAGAGTGGGGGCCATGCGGCAGGTGGTGGTGACACGAAGCCTGCAGCTGTGCGCCGCCATTCAGACAGAGATCACTCACGCCGCACGGTCAGTGTGCCTCACGGGTTGACCCACTTGCTGCTACAGGTGGCGTGTCAGAGTAGCGCGTGTGAGGCCGATTGCCTTGTGCAGATGCAACGGATTTGTAGTATGGTATGTTGACCTCGTGTGAGCGTGCAGTAGTGTGCTTGTTTCACTGCGGAACATGGCTTGGCGGTGTGGTGAATACCTCATTACCAACAGCTCATTTGTACCAACAAACAAGCAACGCATGTGCCCACTCTTCTCTTCTTCCTCCCCCTCATTCCCAGCCTCCCTCCATGCATCATCCTGTTCCTATTGTCCCCCACACATCACGCTGCTGCTATCGTCCCACCCATGTCATGTCACCACCACCAGAGCGCTCTCTGCCCTGGACGCCATTCAGCCCGCCTCCGCGCTCCCAGAGGCAACACAGCAGCATGCATCTCCCGGTCCTTCTGCGAGCAGCAGCAACAGCAGAAGCAGCAGCAGCAGTGGTGCGCTGCTGATGCGAGAGGACCTGGAGAGGGCGCTTATGGGGGGCTTACCCACGTGCATAGCCGCCATCCCCCCCACCGCCTTCCCACTCGCCCTCACACTCTCCAAGCTGCTACGCCTGCTCGACGCCTCTGTCACTCACCCCTTCCTCCTCTCCACGCGCCGCCGCCGCAAGCGCGAGGCGGCAAGGCGGCGGCTCGTTCTGGCAGTGGCAATGAGCGGCCAGGGGCTGAGGGAGGCGTGGGAGGAGGGGGAGATGGGGCGGGCGTGGGGAGGGCGTGTGGAGAAGGAGAGGTGGGAGGCGAATAGCAGCGGTGCCCGGGGAAGAAGGGCACGAGGAGCGGGTGAGGGCCGGTCGTTGCGAGAGGGAGTGGGGAGCATGGGTGCGCAAGAGGGATGGTGCTTGGGTGGTTGGCAGGATGTGATGGGTACAAAGGAACGGGTTGAGGAGGAGGAGGAGGAGCAGGATGAGGAAGAGGAGGAGGAGGTTGAGGTGGATTATGAGCGGTTCAAGAGGCACTACTGGCCGGCCATGGACCAGCGGAGCACCAGAAAGGCAGTGATGGGTGCTGCGTTCGTGTACCGGGAAATCACATCGCACATCAAGGGCAGCTTGCAGGCGATCCGGTCGCCCCTGGGGCATGTGGGCGAGGAGGAGTACGTGCGGGGCATGGTGGGCAGCAACGCGCGCACGAGCGCCATGGGGGAGAGCGAGAGGCGGGCGGTGTATGGCATCTTCCAGGCGTACGAGCGGAAGAAGAAGCAGCGCAAGGAGTACGATAGCGGCGACCTCGTGGTGTATCTGCATCGGGAGATTCGCAGAATGCGAGAGAGCCGAGAGCCCTGGTGGTCTGTGGAGGCCGAGTCATTGAGCCCTCCACAGGCCAAGTGTGCCTCCGCCCTCCACAAGCGAACCAGTTCCTCATACTCGCCTTCTGGTGCAGTCAAGCCCTCTGCTGCCTCGTCCTCTTCAGCCTCCCCCGGGCCCACATGCCCGCCTGTGTTTGACTGTGTGTCGGTGGACGAGGTGCAGGACCTCACTCAGGCGCAGCTCGCGCTGCTGCCACTGCTCTGTGGCAATGTGGCTTCGGGGTTTCTTTTCGCGGGGGACACAGCCCAGTGCATTGCTCATGGGGTTGACTTCCGCTTTGAAGACCTCGCACGAGTCGTTTACAACGAGTTTCTCAATAGAGAGGATGAATGCAGCAGGGATGTGGTCATAAATGCTGGTCGCGAGAAGCGGGAACAAGGTGGTGGGCAGAGGAGGAGTAAGGTGGGGAGTCACTTTGAGAGCACTGCTCCTGGCACCAGTAGCGGTAGCAGCAAGTCTGTTTTGCGGCCGGCGGTGAGAGCGCTGCCACAGTATCAGCTGGTGCGGAACTACCGCACACACAATGGCATACTCAAGCTCGCAAACAGCGTGGTGCAGCTGCTGAGAAGCTTCTTCCCGACGTCCATCGACCGCCTGAACGAGGAGCTGAGCTCGGTGGAGGGTGTGGCGCCCGTGATGGCATCTGTGTCTCCCGTGTGGAAGAGGCAGCTCGCACAGGGCAAGCCTCTCAGCGCCACCCAGGTCAGCATCTTCGTACTGTGCCTGTGCTCTGCTGCATGCCGCTGTGTGTGGGAACGAGGGAAGTGCAGGGCTAAACCTGGGTGTGCACTGACCTGGATGCGGTGTGCTGCCACTAACTCCTGTTGGAGTTAGTGGCTTGTGTACCCATGTTTGTGTGACTCGCCTCGCATTTCAATATTGTGGCCCGTTGGGCCATATGAGCCTGCTTTGCTTTTTTCGTTCTTCTCCCGCGCACCAGGCCATCATTGTGCGCAGCCGGGAGCAGAAGAGGGTGCTCTCGGCCCTCTTCCCAGTGAAGCCTGTCATTCTCACAGTGGAGGAGTGCAAGGGGCTGGAGTTCGAGGTGAGGGGTTGGGTGCACAACACATCGGTAGAGGCTGGGTAGATACGCAGCAGGTTGTTCATGAGATAGGGTTGGACAAAGCAGAAGAGTGTTTGGGTGGATTGTTTGGGAGCTAAGAAGCCGAGGAAGCGCCACCATGCGTATGCCTTTCTTTCCCCTGCAATGCAAATCCCCTCTCTGAATGGTGGTGCGTGCTGCTGATGCCAGTATCTCCATGTTCCTCCCCACCCATCATCATCCCATGCCACTCGCATCGCAGGACGTCTTCCTTTTTAACTTCTTCTGCGCACCCCACTACGCTACCACCACCACCACCACTCCGTGGAACCTGCTTTACACCTACATGCATGACAACGGTCTGGCAGATATGGCGCACAGGAGTGGTGGTGGTGCCTGCCCTTGCAAAACGGGGAAGGGACTGCTTCCTTTTGACGAGCTCAAGTGGGTACCCTGCCTGCCGGTGCTGTAATTTTGAGAACGGTATTGAAGGACAGTAGTTGGTTCTTTCCCGGCTGGGAAAGAAGGCCTTCTTTTAATCTTCCCACCTTGCATCGTTCCATGCAGGCACTGTTCACTGTGTGCGGATCTGAAGCAGCTGTATGTGGCTATAACGAGGGCAAAGCAGAGGCTGTGGGTGCTGGATGAGGCAGACGAAGAGAGTGGGCCAGGCGGGGAGGGTGTATGGGCGGGGAGGGTGTATGGGCGGGGAGGGTGTATGGGCGGGGAGGGTGTATGGGCGGGGAGGGTGTATGGGCGGGGAGGGTGTATGGGCGGGGAGGATGTATGGGCGGGGAACCACAGCGGTCCAATGATGGAGCTCTGGGCGGCGATGGGGCTTGTGGTGGTGAAACGTGGTGAGGAGATCGGAGCACAGTCAGTGAAGCGAGCATCTGAGGAGAAGGACTGGCGCTCACTTGCCTTCACTGTGAGTGCCATGGGTGCAGCCGTGTGTGCAGTGAGTGATGTCAGTGCTGTCAATGCTGCGAGTGCCGTGAGTGCTGTCAGTGCTTTCAGTGCTGTCAGTGCTGTCACTTAAGAAATATGGTAACATTCCAATATCACTTTCACGGCCTTGTTCCATCATGAACTCCTTCCCCGTTGTGTGCTCACTCCACCCGCTTCCACTCGTCTGTGTGCCCCGCCTGTCCCATGCACCCACCCATGCCTACTGCCCACCAGTTCTTCCAGAGGGGCGACTACGAGGCGGCTGAGGCAGCATATGAGCGGGCAGGCGACATTCTCAACGCGCGCTTCTCCCGCGCCATGCTGCTGTATGAGGCGGGCATGGGCCGCACGCCACCGCCAACTGCAGAAGCCTCCTCTGCCCTGCAGGCAGCCTGCCCCTCCGTGCTGCCCTCTGTGCACGCGGACCTGTCTCTGCTCTCCGCCAACGACCTCCTGCTCGCTGCCGCCCGCTTGTTTGAAGAAATGGGAAGGGGAGCGGAGGCAGGGCGTGCGTACAGCAAGGCCAGAAGCTATGAAGATGCAGGTATATGTTGTTGTGTGTTTTATAGCCACGTGGCAAGGTTGAGTGCTGGCTACGGGACCTTGTGTGTTTGACTGTCTGAAGCTGCTGGCAGCTCTGCAGAATGTTATCACCCACTTCTCACCGCGCTGCGCTGCTTGTTCCCTCCCATCTGCGCTCGGTGGTGCTCCTCCTTCCTTCCTACCCTCCCCTGCATCAATTTCCCGCTCAACCTGTCAATACATTTGCTGATTACCCCATCTTTCTTTCTTCCCCTGTCCGCCCTCCCACAGTGCGAGTCTACCTCTCCATGTGTCACCCGCCTGATCATCTGAAGGCCGCCCGATGCTATGAGAAGCTAGGAAGGCTCAGCGAAGCTGCTGATTGCTACAGTGCTGGCGGAGACATGCACAGTGCGCTCTCCGTGTGCCTGCGAGCTCGCACCTTCAGCAAGGGCCTCTTGCTTCTCGACAGCTGGCAGGCTGCTAAAGCCACGCCAGCATCAGGGGTGGTACCGAACCAAGAGTCTCTGCCTCTGAAGGGATGGTACGTGACTCAATGCGCTCTGAAGCATGAAGAGGAACGTGACTATAACGAGATGCTGCGATTCATCCGGCTCCACCCGTCGCTGCAAGCGAAGCGGGAGTTTCTCGAGAGAGGGCGGCACCTGAGGCAACTGGCAGTGGTGGAGCGCGAGGAGGGCGACAGCACCCGCGCCTCTCTCTTGCTGCAGACGGCTGGCATGCTCCTGGAGGCGGCACTGTGCCTGTGGCAGCTGGGCTGGCCGGGTCGCTCCCTTGTGTGCTTCGTGCGCCACCTGCAGTGGCGAGTGAACATGGCGGGGCGAGGGGCATGGATGGGGGAGGGGAGGAGAGGAGGGGAGGGGATGAGGGCTGCTGGAGGCGTGGAGCTGAGCAGAGAGGAGGTTGAGATGGCCCAGCAGTTGCGAGGTGTGGAGAGGTGGGGATTCGCTGACCGGATGGCGTGTGAGGGGTGTGATTTGGGATGGGCGAGGGTAGAGATGAGTGTGCTGCTGTTCGTGCTGCAGTGTGCGGTGGATGATGCTGGTGATGGTAGCTCTGGCAGTGATAGTGGTGGTGGCGAGGAGAGCGGTTCAGGTGAGGATGAAGTGATTGCGCCAGGTGTTGACATGCGAATGCTCAAGGATGCGGAAAGGGAGGCGAGAATCTCGCAAGCATGGGGGATGGTGAGGCTGGGGCAGCTGCTGCCGGCACATGGAGTGGAGGCGGGTGGAGGGATGGCTGGAGGGGAGGCAGGGCGCACTTTCCCTCATGCAGGGGTGTCTGGGGAGGCTAGTGGACGCGAGTTGCTGGGTGGAGAGATGAGAAGGGAGGAGATGAGGGAGGCTGGGGAGTTGTGGCATGGGCAGAACGTGCTTCACAAGGCGGCAGAGCAAGTGCAGAGGGAGGGACGGGAGAGCAACGTGCGGTGGCAGGCGGGCACAGAGGCACTGCAGAAGGGGCATGCGGAGTGGAAGGGGGCGGAGCAGCTGCGAGCAGAGCTGATGCTTTGCCACTTAGGGTTACAGATGGCTGTGCGCATGCTGCAGCGTGCACAGCACCGCCTCATGCTCTGGCTAGAGGGTAACACAGAGGCTCATGCCACAGCAGCACGGACAGCAGTACAGAGGCTGTCTGCCGCACTTCCCTGGACCCTCACCTCTGCCCCTGCCATTGCCCATGTGCAGCACAAGGTGGGTCTGTGGTGGGCCCGCTGGTCCGCCCGCCTCACGCCTCTCCTGCGCTCGCTGCACCATCTGCACCGCAATGCCATGCCTGCTGCCGACTCCCACCTCCCCCGCCTGCACGCTGCCTTCTCCCTCCTCTCCACCTCCTTCCACCGCCGCCTCTCCTCCTCAGCCTCTTCCTCCTGCCAGCTTGATGACATGGCGCTGCCATGGGCCAAGGGGGTGGCACTGGAGCCGCTGTCGAGTACAGGGAGGAGTGGCGAGATGGAGGGGTGGAGGGCGGTGGAGGTGGTAGCAGGGGTGTGGGAGAGGGAGTATGCAAGCCGGTTGAATGGAGCGAAGCGGGTGGCGTGCAATGGAGCTGTGACCTGCTCCTCTGCGCTCCTCAATTGCATCCGAAAGGTTGGTGGTACGGTATCCCTCTGTCTGCGTTGGTGGTACGGTATCCCTCTGTCTGCGTTGGTGGTACGGTATCCCTCTGTCTGCGTTGGTGGTACGGTATCCCTCTGTCTGCGTTGGTGGTACGGTATCCCTCTGTCTGCGTTGGTGGTACGGTATCCCTCTGTCTGCGTTGGTGGTACGGTATCCCTCTGTCTGCGTTGGTGGTACGGTATCCCTCTGTCTGCGTTGGTGGTACGGTATCCCTCTGTCTGCGTTGGTGGTACGGTATCCCTCTGTCTGCGTTGGTGGTACGGTATCCCTCTGTCTGCGTTGGTGGTACGGTATCCCTCTGTCTGCGTTTGTGCGGGTTGCTGCATGTGATTGTATCTTGATCGCCGCACCTCGATACTTCTTTGTCAGTGCATCACTCAGTGTTTCGTCGATACCTCTGTTTTTAACTCCCCAGTGTTGCACGCAAGGGCTAAGGGGGAAAACATGTGCTTTGCTGTACTTCTTAAAGCACGCTCCTGTAAGCGCTCTCTCATCCTTGTCCTCGGAACACTGTTCCTCAACCCAATGCAGGCCATGTCGCATGCTCCGATTATCACCTCACAAGGTCACACTTCAGCTGTTCCCACGGCACCAGTGGCTTCCCAGCAGCCTCCCTGCCCTTCTGCCCATCCCCTCGTCCTCCTCCCTCTGGTGGAACATTCCCTCGCGCTGCTGCCTGCTGCCATGCACTCCTGCTCTCGCTCTGCCCTCATCCCATTCCCGTCCGCCACTCCTCTGCACCACCTCTTCACCTCCCTTCTGCTTCAACCTCGCCCCCCTGCCTCCGCTTCACGCAGTCTCCAATACTGCACCCATCCCACCCTCAGTCACAATCTGCACCACACGCTGCTGCAACTTCCATCTGCCTTTGTAGCTCTGCTGCACACGTACGAGCCATTCAGGGGTGTTCCGGAGAAGCAGACTGACGGAAATGGTGAGGGAGGTAGAACTGACCGAGGCAGTGGTGTGCCTGGTGGGAGAAACAGAGGGTTGGTGACTGGCGAGGGAAGGGGCTGTGGATGGGGCAAGGAAGGAGGTGACAATGCCATGGGGCTGTCTGTTGCAATGCTGAGTGCGCTGCTGGGCATGGCGGATGCATTTTGGAGGGTGATTCCTGCACGCTCGCAGGAAGAGACATGGAGGGTTGTACAGGTGGTGCTCACGGGCTTGCTCAACACGTGCCCTGCTACAATCACCCAGTCAATCAGCAATGCAGGTGTGGGCGCTGGGAAGAGCGGACAAGCAAGCATGAGGGAACTGCTCTCTGGCATGAGGGAGCAAGCGTTCTCATGCTCACAAAGGAACCCCCTCCTATCTCTCAGCTTCTTTGACTTCCCTTCCAACCAAGCCCTGCTTCACGAGGCGTGTCGGGGTCGAAATGATCAAGGAGCGGACGGAAGGCGCATCCCTCCCGACTGGGCTGCACCTCTGCTACTACCACTTGCGCCCTTCCTCTCCCACCATGCCCTTCCTCTCCTCTATCATCAAGCCTCCATTGTTCACCTCCCGCCACCACTAGCTTACGCCCTCGCTCGACTGTTGTGTATCCTGCTGCCCGCCCTGCATGCTGTGAGTGGGCGAGACAAGGAGCATTTGGGTTGTACCAGGGGAAGGGGAACCTTGAGTGAGGCACGGGGGTTATGGAATGAGTTGAGAGATGCAGTGGAGATTATAGGGTTGTGCGAGACTCTAGGGTTGCGCGGGGTGAAACCATGAATACAGTTTTACATGACGCTAGCTGCATAAATAGGGAACGACGAGGAGAGGAGGGGAAGCGAGGAGACAAGAGAAATGGAGGGTGTCATCACATGTTCCATGTCATAGTGTCCTGTGCAGACTGATCAAACACTACATTTTCGTACATGCGCCAAATGCAACAAGATCAGTTTGAGAAGCGGAACCGGAAGTAACACACATGGTTTATACTTTGACACACCCCCATGTACTAGTACTACGCTGTCTTGTAGTGCACTGTGTCAAACTGTATGGTTGTGTTCTTTTCTAGGCTATAGTGGGTTAGCCTACAAGGGATACAACACTTTAGGGTTAGTACTTGTACCCAACTCATTCATAGTTCATTTATTACTGCACAGTTCTTCAGACATGGTATTCAGAGCAAGAAACCTGTTAAGTCTTTAGGGCCCACCGATAGTTTTGCTAGTTCCTGCCCGAAGCGCCCTTGCGTTGTCGGGCCCTCTCGCACAGTGACACGCTGCCCTGCAGCTACTCGCACTGCCTGCCCTAGCGCGCTGCCCTACTGTCACGCGCGCCCCTGCTGCCTGAGAGTAGCCCCTGCCCCGCGCGCCCCTGCTGCCCGCGTGCAGCCCCTGCCCCGCGCGCCCCTGCTGCTTGCGAGCAGCCCCTGCCCCGCGTGCCACTGCTGCCTGTGAGCAGCCCCTGCCCCGAGCGCCCCTGCTGCCCGCGAGCAGCCCCTGCCCCGCGCGCCCCTGCTGCCCGCGTGCAGCCCCTGCCCCAGCGCGCCCCGTCTGCAGGGTTGCGTCTGCAGGGTTCGCGCCCTACTGCCCTGCGCGTCGCGCCCTGCTACAGCCCGCGCGTCACGCTCTGCTGCTCCGCGCGTCGCGCCCTGCTGCAGCCCGCACGTCTAGCCCTGCTGCTCTGCGCGTCGCGCCCTGCTGCAGCCCGCGCCTCGCGCTCTGCTGCTCTGCGCGTCGCGCCCTACTTCAGCCCACGCGTCGCGCTCTGCTGCCCCGCATGTCGCGCCCTGCTGCAGCCCGCGCATCGCGCCCTGCTGCCCCGCGCGTCGCGCCCTGCTGCAGCCCGCGCGTCGCGCCCAGCTGCCCTGCACAGAGCGCGCCCTGCTGCCCGCGCCGCCCAGCCCGAGCCACGCAGCCCAGCCCAAGCCGCCCTCCTGCTACTACTGCTGCTGCTGCTGCTCGTGCTACTGCTGCTGCTGGTTGAGGTGCTGCTGGGAGTTCTGGAGGTGCCGCCGCCCAGCCCCAACGAGCTGCCCTGCTGCTACTACTGCTGCTGCTGCTGCTCGTGCTACTGCTGCTGCTGGTGGAGGTGCTGCTGGGAGTGCTGGAGGTGCTGCTGGTGCTGGAGGTGTTGGAGGTGCGGCTGGGAGTACTGGAGGTGCTGCTGGTGTTGGAGGTGCTGGACCTACTACTGACCGTCACTGCCTGTCATGGCCACTATCACGGCAGTTGCAGCGGCTAGGGGTGGACAGCAGCGGCCACTGCCTCTCCTGGAAGACCCCACCCCTTAGCAGCTTCGTGAGTGGGTTATTCAGCAAGGCAGTCATAATGGTGGAGGTTTTGGTTTTATGTGGCCTCAGCGACCTCGCGGCTGTGCTTCTCAGCGATGCATCACTGGTCGTGTAGAGGCTGTTGCTCTCAGTTCTAGTGAGTCTGCTGCCGCTCCAGGTGCTGGTGAGTCTGCTGGAGCTCTAGGTGCTCGTGAGTCTGCCGACGCTCTAGGTGCCAGTGCATCTACTGCCACAGGTCCTGCCTTGGCTGAGGCCTTGCACACTTTCATGCTTGACTCAGGCGCGTCACGTTGCTTCTTTCGTGGTTGCAACACAGTCACACCACTCGCAGCACCTGTCCCAGTCTCACTGGCTGACCCCACTGGGGGCCCAGTAGTTGCGCGAGCCTCCACTGTCCTCCCGTGTTCGGCAATCCCCTCCGGGTCTCTCTCAGGTCTCCACCTCCCCGCGTTCTCGACGAACTTGTTGCGCAACGCGGTTCTCCAGGATGAATGGGTTGACACATTCATTCCTGGAGGACAGCGTGTGGCGACCTGTAAGTGCTCACGGACTGGCCATCACCTTGCTACGTTCACTCGTCAGCCTAGGTCCAGTCTGTACACCCTGGCCACTACGTCTGCACAGGTGGCTGACTCAGGTCAGGTGGCTGCGTCGAGTCGGGTGTCTGCGTCTGGTCAGCTTGCAGCGTCTTGCTCGTGTCGGGTACTCTCTCACCAGACTCTCCTCTGGAACCACCACCTAGGTCGCCCCTCGCTGCCATGCCTCCGCAGGATGCACTCCCGTCTCCTTGTCTCTGGCCTTCCTAGGTCCCTGCCCTCCCTCCCGCGCTCGCCTGCCCCGCCGTGCCTTCCCTGCGTCAAGGGGCGGCAGCGCGCCGATCCTCACTCCTCCGAGTTTTCTCCGACCACTGCTCCTCTTCAGACTCTCCACATGGACGTTTGGGGCCTGGCCCCCATCGGTGGGACGGACCAGAAGCGCTACTTCCTACTGGTTGTTGACGATGACACACGCTACACCACTGTCTTCCCCTTGCGACACAAGGCGGACGTCAGCGGTGTTTTGATCCCTTGGATCCGTGCTACTCGTCGCCAGTTGCGCAAGCGGTTTCGTCGGGACTTGCCAGTCCTGTGTCTGCACCCTGACAGGGGCGGTGAGTTCTCTTCTGACCTCCTTGCGGAGTTCTGTCGAGACGGGGGCATCCACCAGTCGTTCACGCTTCCGGCCTCTCCTCAGCAAAATGGGATTGCTGAGCGCCGCATTGGCTTGATCATAGAGGTTGCTCGTACCTCCATGATCCATGCGGCTGCTCCCCATTTTCTGTGGTCATTTGCGGTCCGATACGCTGCGCATCAGCTCAACCTCTGGCCCCGTGTCTCTGAGCCAGAGACCTTGCTCACACTCCGATGGACGGGGAAGGTTGGCCATGCGTCGGTGTTTCGCGTCTGGGGCGCGCTCTCCCTTGTTCGCAATGCCAAAGCGAGCAAGCTCTCCTCTCGCAGTCTCCGCAGCATCTTCCTTGGCTTCCCCACCGACGCCCCGCCGAGGCAGTTCTACCACCCATGCGAGCGTCGAGTCTTTTCCTCCTAGGACGTCACCTTTGACGAGTCTGTCTGTTTCTACAGGCTACACCCGTACGCGTCCCACTCGGTCCCCCTACCGCCTCTTTTCTTGGTACCAATCCCCCCCCCCCGGTAGACCACTTCCCCCCACAGGGTTCTACTCCCTCAGGTGTGTCTCAGGTAGACCCACCCCCCCTTGGTTGAGCCTTTGGAGATCTCTTCTGACTCCTCTGGCCTAGCTGAGGGGGGTGACCTCGCCGCTGACGACACGGCGGCCACTCGCCGCTCTCCTCGCTTGGAGACCCCCCCTGGTTTTCCGCCTCGGCCGTCTTCGCCACTTCCGCAACCTGTTGCTATGGACTCTGGAGCTGAGACTGCTGGTGTTGATCCTGGGGGTGCTGAGACAGAGGGTGAGGGTTCTGGGGGTGCTGCGACTAGGGGTGCTTCGACTAGGGGTGCTGCGACTGGGGGTGCTGGTTCTGGAGGTGCTGCGACAGGGGGTGCTGACTCTGGGGGTGCTGAGAGTCCTAGTGGCGGTGGAGCTATGGGTGACCCTGCTGGAGGTCCTGGAGCTGGACAGCCACCGCAGCCTGATCTACTTGAGACGCTCTCGCCGCAGGCAATTTGTGCGTGGATCGTTTGGCAAGGCAAACCTGGTGGTGGAGGGTACGGTCTTGCTGGTGCTGGAGCTACTAGTCCTGGAGGTACTGCAGGTGCTGGAGGTACTGGAGGTACTGCTGGAGGTGCTGGAGGTGCTGCTGGTGATAGAGGTACTAGAGGTGCTGCTGGTGCTGGAGGTGCCGGAGCTACTAGTCCTAGAGGTGCTACTGGTGCTGGAGGTGCTCAACCTACTAAACCTGGAGGTACAGCTGATACTGGAGGTCCTGGTGGTGCTGCTGGTGCTGGAGGCGCTAGAGCTGGAGGTACGGGAGGTGCTGGAGCTACTACTCCTGGAGGCGCTCGTACTGGAGGTGCTGGAGCTGCCGGAGTTGGTGGTGCTGTTAGTGCTGGAGGTGCTGGGGGTACTGGAGGTGCTGGTGCTACTGGTGCAAAAGCTGCGGGAGCTGCTGGTCCTGGAGGTGCTCGTAATAGAGGTACTGGAGCTGCCGAAGCTGGTGGTGCTGCTAGTGCCGGAGGTGCTGCTGGTGCTGCTGGTACTGGAGCTGCTGGCACTGGAGGTGTTGGAGGTACTGCTGGTGCTGGAGGCGCTGGAGCTGGAGGTACTAGAGGTACTGGAGGTACTGGAGGTGCTGGAGCTGCTGGTCCTGGAGGTGCTCATACTAGAGGTGCTGGAGCTGCCGGAGTAGGTGGTGCTACTAGTGCTCGAGGTGCTGCTGGAGCTGCTGGCACTAGAGGTGCTGGATGTACTGCTGGTGCTAGAGGTGTTCGCGCTGTTGGAGCTCGTGGTGCTGCTGGTGTTGGAGGTGCTACTGGAGCTGCTGGTGCTGCTGATGCTCGAGGAGCTGGAGCTGCTGGTACTGCCCCGCGCCGACTGTTTTTCCACTCGCAGCCGCAGTCGTCCCTGCCGCCGCCTGACTCGGTCCTTCTCCAGGTTCTTAGTCTCCTGTCTTCCACTGGCCTCACTCCACCTCTCCTGTGTCCACTGACAGACCGGTCTCAGCCACAGCTTCTGCCTGGCTCCCTGCTGCCAGCTCCTGCTCCTCACACTGAGGTGACTGAGTCTCTGACTGAGCGTCGTGAGCCTAAGACTCGTGCTTCCACACCTGTTCGTGCTCGTCGTGTTGCCCGTCCTCGTCGGCCTGCTGTCCCAGGCACTCACGGTATGGCACTTCGTCCTTCCTCTGTTCCACAGCGTGTTGTCCTGCCCGAGCCTCCTGCGTCCTCTCTTCCGCACATTCATGACCCTGAGTCCGACCTTGCTCGTGCTGCCATTCCTACCGTCAGTCGTCTCCTCGCTACTGTCGTCACTGACCCTGACTTTGAGTATACTGCTGCGTTTGCCCTAGTCACTGAGCTAGTTGACTTTGCAGCTAGGAGTCGTCTCGACTACGTCGCGAGTCTTGTTACTGAGTCTGAGTCTGTCTGTCCTCTGTTTGTCAGGGGTGAGCCTGCCCTTAGCAGTGACGTCCCTGAGGATAGCCAGTTTGAGCTTGAGTGTCTTGCAGCCGCTTTACCTCGTTTCGCATCCATGCTGCTTTGCCCTGAGGGATACCCGGATGCACTTGACATCCCTACCCCGCGCTCTTACGCTGAGGCAATCGCGGGTGAGTACTCCTCTCAGTGGCAGACAACCATGGATGCAGATATGGCTTCTTGGAAGTCCACATGCACCTACGTCGACGAGGTTCCTCCTCCTTGGGCGAACATAGTCGATGGCATGAGGATTCTCAGAGTGAAGCAGCCGCCGGGCTTTCCGCCTGCCTTCAAGGCGCGTTACGTTGCTCGAGGCTTCAGTCAGCGACAAGGGGTCGACTTATTCCATAACTTCTCCCCCACCCCGAAGATGACTACTTTTCGGGTGCTGCACGTTGCAGCACAGCGTGACTACGAGCTGCACTCCCTTGACTTCTCCACAGTTTTCTTACAGGGCAGCCTTCACGATGAGATCTGGCCGCGCCGCCCACCTGGCTTCACTAGGTCGTTTCCTGCAGATACCCAGTGGAGCCTCCGGCAGCCAGTCTACGGTCTCCGCCAGGCGCCCCGAGAGTGGCACGACACACTGAGGACTACACTTGCAGCTCCTGGCTCCTTCCTCTGCTGACCCGTCGCTGTTTCTACGCACCGACACTACTCTACCGCCGATCTACGTTCTTGTGTATGTCGACGACTTGGTTCTTGCTACTGCTGACACTGACGCACTGGCCCTAGTGAAGGCAGAGCTGCAAGAGAGACACACCTGCACTGACCTGGGTGAACTGCGTAGCTATCTTGGATTGCAGATCACCCGGGACAGAGCACGGTGCACCATCACCCTGACTCAGTCACACATGGTGCACCAGGTCCTTCAGCGCTTCGGCTTCCAGTTCTACTCGCCACAACCCACTTCTCTGTGTACCGGCCATTCGCTCTCAGCTCCACCTTCGGACGAGTCCGTAGAGCCGAGTGGTCCGTACCCAGAGCTTGTGGGCTGCCTCGTGTACCTGATGACGTGCACACGACCTGACCTCGCGTACCCTCTCAGCCTCCTGGCACGCTACCTGGCTCCCAGTAGACACCGAAAGGTGCAACAGGATGCTGCAAAGAGGGTATTGTGTTACTTGTGAAGTACATCGGGCATGGGGCTCGTGCTTGGAGGACAAGGTTCAGTGGTACTTACAGGACACTCCGACGCTTCTTAGGCCAATAATCAGGCAACTCAGCGTTCCTCACAGGGTCACACCTTTAGTCTTGGCTCTGGTTCTGTCTCGTGGAGGTCCACTCGTTCTTCATCTGTGCTTAGTTCCAGCTGTGAGGCCGAGATCTACGCTAGGGCCATGGCTGCAAAGGAGCTACGCTGGCTGACCTACCTGCTAACCGACTTGGGGGAGCGGCCTCGTTCTCCTCCAGTTCTGTACGTCGACAACAAGGCAAAGCTTGCCTTGTGTCGCGAGCAGAGAATCGAGCACAGAACGAAGCACATTGCTCTTTGCTACTTCATGGCATATGCTGCAGCAGCGTCGTCAGCTCCGCCTTTCCTACGTGGCCTTGCGGGCCAACACTGCTGATGTGTTCACCAAGTCCCTTGGGTCTGGTGATCATCAGCGTTTCTGCACTGCTCTTGAGCTTGTGCCCACTCTGCCTCACCTCGTAGTTGCTTGACTTGCTCTTGTTGCACACTGATACATATCTTTATACCTACTTGTTTACTCTTGCTAGGTTGTGATCAGTGTACTGCCTTGCTATTATAACTCTATATGTGAACTGGCCTTGTGGTCGTTTGTTTGTGCTCAGATTGTGTGGTGTCCTTGAGATCCACCTTGAGCTTTGCTTTGCTTGTTCTCTTGCTTGACTGGTCTTGTGACCGTCTGTTGTGTTTGCTCTCTCCCACTTAGCCTATGGGGGTGTGTCAAACTGTATGTTTGTGTTCTCTCTAGGCTATAGTGGGTTAGCCTACAAGGGGTACAGCACTTTAGGGTTTGTATTTGTACCCAACTCATTCATAGTTCATTCATTCTTACACACTGAGATGGCAAAGAGAAGGAGAAAGCCTGGAAGGTTAGGTTGGTTGGTGGCCATCATGCATGGCAGCAAGGCCCGGAAGTAGATACCGTAAATGTTACTGGCGCTTATTTTCTGTATTGTACTAGGGAAGGAAACGCATTTCACTTGTCACTATTACTGTACCTACCTATATCAACAACAATCACGAACAACAAAGGAAGCCAAAACACAGAAAGAAGGAAAACAACACAGGAAAGCCTTCCCACTCCTCCTTACAGTCTCCTTTCTTTGGAGTTATACTACAAAGAAGGTTCCCCCTCTGACCCCCTTCTCACAAGATTCAATTCTTCTACTCAGTGAACAGCATAGATACACTTCAACGGTACCTGTACATCTCAAACTGCCCGCACATGGCGCCATCAGGATACTTTGAAGTGTGAATGTTCCCGTAGAACCCACCCGGATGCCTCGACATCTCCTTGAGAACCGACACAAGCTTTCCGGTCCGTTCCGCTGATTTCTTCCCGAGACTCCGTCGAGTAATCGTACACGCACGGCAGATCGAACACCTTGGGGCCGGCTTTCCCCGCTGGTGATTTGTGCACATGCGTCATGGTCGGAGGTAAATCATTTTCGATATATACAGGCATTATTGTCACCACGTACTCAAGCCACTAAGGCTGGCCGTTTTTCCTGTAATAGTACAAATCAGTAAACCGGGGGTTAATCTCGAAGATATTATAATGGAGTTAAATGTACATTACATCACAGGACAGAGTTGAGCTTTGAGCATGGAAGCAGAGATTCGGTATCATCGGAGCACCTATAGGCTCTTCCCTGTTAGAGCTGCGGAACTCAGGCGTGGAGGACTCCAGTAACGACTATGGAGGTCATGCACTTTATAGTGTATTTCTTCCTTCCCCTTCCCCCCCCCCCCCCCCCCCCCCCCTCCCCCCCCCTCCCTCCCCAGAAAAAGAAACAAAACAAAACAAAATAAAAATGGCGTGACAAACTCACTTGTTTATCGTCAATGTCATGTCTGTCATGGCGCCACCTTGGTCCCCAACGGTCACGCCAGCTGGGGAGCCATCCTTGGGAACCTCCTTGTCGTCGGTTAGCGTGGCAGCGATAAGGACTGCTGAAAGAGAACCTGAGGGGAGAGGGGGAGAGGAGGGAAGATCACGGGGGGAGGGAGAGGGACAGGGATGGGATAGGATGGTGGAGGTGGGGTTGACGCTTGGCGGTGAGGCATTGAAAGGGAAGGTATCTGTTGGGGTGATATTGAAAGAGAGTTTGATTTCAGGTCGGAAAGTAACGCACCATTGGGCTTTCGGTGTGATGTGACATTGAAATTTATGGTGGAAAAAAGGTGTTAATACAGGGGAGAATGTCAATTATGGTTGGTATGCAAGCGTGGAATTTCTTAGAGCTGACCAGCATCGCGGAAAAGACAAGGGCCAGAAGTGACGAAAATGTGACTTTTCCGTGACTTTCTCGTATACGGAATTCTGGGGTAAAAGGTGGTGGTTGGAAGTACTGGGCCCAATGTCACTTCAAAAGTGACAGAAAAGTCACAAAATTGTCACGGAAAAGCTCCGTTTGCGTCACATCCAAAGTGACTTCACAGTCATCGGCCGGTCACGTTCATGTCACACGGGGGTTATCTCATACGAAGGACCGTCAAATGACACAATTAGTTACAATCTTATAGCAACCCGCCATGTGGCAGGCATGACGTCATCATTACACCCCGTAAGTTACAACACACTACTGTTCACCACACTTCGGGTCACAGTCCCATCCAACCAACTGCCTTCACGTGGACGATCAGGATCACCCCGGAGTTGTATCCACACCTTTTGTGTACAGACTCCGCATCCAATGCACAAGCGCCACCTCTCAACCACTCCTGCATCCCATTCGTCGAATCTCTATCCACCCCCTTGACTCTACACTACGTGTACACTGCGGATGGCATTGAAATATGACAAGGTGTACGGCTGCAACAATGTACATGATGACTAGACAGGTCAGCGACCTCGACATCCGACCATCCACGTAACCACGCATCGACGATACATCGCTGGCGACATCGCGAGCCGGATTCCTGCATTGTCAACGTGTACTTACGTTTGTCCATGGATAGAGACCCACGTGGACGGCCTACACATTGCATGGAGCCACCAATGCCGGTCCATTTGTCATGCCCTCGACCGTCCATGAGACCATTAGTCAACGGCACTCCTCGCTCCTATGTACGTGCATCCACGGCTCCAGTTGGTTTAGGGGTCGCCACGCACAGCCCCATGATGAGACGGTTTGGACCATCACAACCCAAATCGCAGTCCCAATCTAACCGCATCCACCGGCTCACATCTGAATCGCATTAGTATTTGGTAACCCTATGCTACTGGCCGCGTTGTACGCATTGTCATACGTTCCGCGGAATGGTTGACGGGTTATGTATACCCCTGCTCACGACCAGACCTAATTTCTCGTACACCTATTGTTCCTTCTATTTTAAAAGCAGTTGCCATTAATCCCTCTTACACGCATCGTATCCTAGCCAATACCCTTAATTAGACCCTTCTCAACCATCACACGACAGTTCACAGACAACACCACACTATAAGCATTAGACATACGGTGATCATCCACTTCTCGGCTCCGCGACGCTGACAAACGTCGCTGTGCGTGTCTCATCCGATTATGCTCGCGGAGTCCCGCGGTTGGCGCTAGCCTCGGCGCTCACCGCGTCTGCAGCCGCTATGCCGTCCGCCGAGATGCGAAGACCATGGCGGCCCCATGCCCATGTCTGGGACGCCGCGTCATACTCGGGCCGGAACTCCGCGATGGCCCGAGTAACATCACCCTTGACGAGGACGTGCAGGCCGTCTACGATCTGCGCGTTGGAGCCCGCGGAGTTGGAGAAGCGACCTTGGCGCGCCTCCCAGTGCTTGATAGCATTTGTGACCTGCACACGGCGAACATCAAATGCTGGCATATAAGGACACTCGTGCGGCTATCTTTAACGTGTTAATGCGGCGGAATGTTGACGTACCACGTGCTCCAGCCATGCCACGTGGTAGAGCTTCAGCGTCACGGTCCCGTTCACCATCCGTGGCTTGAATGCTGCCCGCGCGCATGCAGCAAACGCACCAGAGGCGAACGGCATCCCGTTACGGCCACAACTCCATCGCGACAGTGCCAGCTTATCTGCCACGTAAAGCACACACCGCGTGCACAATGATTAACGGTGAGCCAAAGAGGTACAATGAACTCGCGTAGTACCGGTTGTGGCAGCACTTACTTACCCGATGCCACGTCTCCGAGGCCGACCCTATCCCGGATTCGGGACAAGGTGCGCCTCGAACGTGTCGCCCAAGGGCTTTTCAAGTCCCGTTCGTTGCGAAACAACCTGTCAGAATAGTAGGCACGATGAGGAGCCAAAGCTAGGGTTTACCTAGCTAGGCAAGAGAGAAATGAGCAAAAGGAGGAAGTTCACTAGCAAGCAGGAGGATACAAATAGGAAACCCTAAGGGGCCGTACTCACTACAGAGTACCCCACCGCAGGCTAGACAAGCATTATAATCTGACGCAACCCAATCCTAGGCAGCGAGATGTCCCGTAATCTCCCTGCCGCACCAGTCTTCCAGTCGCTGAACGACCTGTTCAGGTCGACCCGACGGGCCTTGTCAGCCGCGAGTGCAAGGCTTGCATAGTTGGGGTCAGGTTATCCCCGACTGCGCAGATGCCTCAGGCCTTGGCTGCGCTGCTGGGGTAGAATGGCAAATGCTTGTTGGAGCGCCGGATGAACAGTTCGATGCGAGCCTGCTCACATATTTCATGCAGTGTCAAACAACGCATTACATCATCACCCTGGCAGACATGTTCCGCACTGCGTACAACACATCTACCGTAGCATGCAGCACGCCAACACTTGATGCGTACCTTCCACCCCTTGTCGACAGGGAGGAGTCCGAACGCTTCCTGCACAATGGCAGAGCTGGAGTGTCGAATGTGGCCGTCATCCCCTTCTTCGAACTCCCCCTCTTCCTCGGACGCCGTCTCGGACGTGGAGCAGGAACGCTGCGCCTTGCGGCGCTTTCCCTTGTCGGATCCGCGCTTCCGATGCCTCTTCCTCTTATTGTTGATGTCCTCATTGGGTTTCGCAAGGAACGCAGTCTCCAGCCTTGCAATCGCACGTGCTGTGGCTTCATGGAGCTCCCGCATGCTCTGCAGCTCCTCTCGCGTGACCGGTGTGTCATTCGGTGCACGTTCTGCGCCGGCGTCCGCCTCTTCTGCATTGGCCTCAGCCTCGTTGTCTGCTTCCACATCATCCTCATCCTCGGTATGCACTGGGTTACGCCCGGGGAGAGCCTCATTGGGATCGTCGTCCGATGATGGCACGGGTGGTGCATCAGGTTCCCCCTCCACTCGCGCAGACCTGTCGCTAACCTCCTGAACGTGAAGTTTACGTCTGCGGCCCGCCGTCCCGCCGGTTCCAGCCTCCTCGTCAACCTGCTGGCTGGACTGAGCAGACGACGAGCTACTCTCGGACGTGCTCCCATGCGACATACGCGAGTCCCCGCGAGTCCCATGAGAGGGTGTCACGGCTGCATCTCACACACGGTAGGCCAAAACGCATATAACGAGAACAAATCACATGTAAGAAAACCGTGTAAAATTGTCACACCGGCCCACTTCACAAAGACAAACGACCGAGGCCATGAACAAAGTGTAACGCAGAGCCACTCACGTGGAGGCGAGGGTGGACCCCGTGCCTGCTGCTCGTTGACACTTTTCAGAATAGCCAGACGAGGCTTCTTTGTCACTTCACACCTAACATTGCTAGGCAGAAGGTAAGTGTTGCGCAGGTAGGCAGGTGGCTGTGACACGCGCTGACTCCTGCCCTCACGGGACGACACTGGTCCTGCTGTGAAACTGTCCATCGTCACCAAACTTGTGGGCATGAATGAGTCCACTGGATACAGTGTTCACTACTTGCATTCAGTGACCCACCCTGGGCACGGGTGTGCCGTGCCCCCCTTTCCACGTGGCACGCCCTTGTCGGCCAGACTGAGTTCGTCATCTGCCGGGTTTTGCCCACATGGCACACCGGGGACGCAACGTTATCACCAGCACTCGTTACAGAGTCGACTCAGTTAAGCTACCATGGTTGATCGTTGTAACAACATCTGCCCTACAACGGCAACACGCGTACATATCCTCCCTGTCACGCACAGATGATCTGAATTATGAAGTGAAGTATAAGGCACGAATCATACAACTCCACATGGCGTAATTCATACTATGACTTCTCTATTACACATGAGGAGGCAAAGTCCTCTTATAATCACACACAGTATTCACACATAGTATCATGATTCATATACACTTCTATGCACATAGAGACTGCCAGCCATGGTGTCATCAGCCACTTCCAGTGTACACAGCCTCTACCTCGTGTACCATCTTGTCATCCCCGTCATCATCACCACTGCTGTTGTCGCGCGACCGAGAGCCAGTGTTCTCGAGGGGGAAGGGAGTACCAGAAGCAATGCCCATCTATGCCATTGCTGTCCTCCATTGACGCCACCTCCACCATATCCGTGCCTTGACAAGATGCCTCTCATCGTCGCGAACACACCCGAGAAGGAATGCCTTCTCCACGTCAGACAGCTCCTTCGTGTGCAGGATGTGGTCCTTGCGCCTGATCACATATGCTGTCGCGACATACGCATATACCGCATCGTCCTCCACGGTATACGCCCCCAGCCTGATCTGCTGACCAGTGCCAGGTCAACAACTCACCCCCGTCCAGCGACTCAATGTAGGCTGCTTGCCGTATGTGGCAAGCATGCTGGACTGATGCACAGGCCGTGCTGCAGCCCTCGATCCCAAACGCGTGCTATACCTGGGAGTGCGCGAGAGGCTCCCTGGTGCTGCCGAAGTCACAGGAGCTGTTGGATGATCCAGCTCCTCCTTCATGGGTTTGTCCTCTGTTGGTGACGGGTCCCATTGAAAGGTAGATCCGCCATTGTTATGAGCAGGCGCGGACGATCGCAGCGGAAGAGGGTTGCGGGTAGGATGGATGGTGATGCCTAGCGTCCGCATTGATGCAGCGTGATCCACGTGGTTCTTTGACGTGGACAGCGCCAGCAGAGGCGTCCCGTGGGTCTGTAGCTCGTGGGCCGCTCCACTCAACAATTGATCCTCTGAAATGCCAAGCGAACGTGCCAGACTCGTGACCGCCGCACACACCACATAACCCCCGAGCTCCATCCGGGCTATCATGCTTGACTGTTTCGCCAGGTCGGTACAAAGTTCGTCCTCCTTGGGAAAGACACGAGCACCATGTTCATCCAACTATGGGAGAGGCTGCAAGGGAACCTCCACACCCTCCCCAAAGAGCTTGACAACAAGATCACCTGTGGAGTGAAGTGACACCTTCTTGCGTAGCTGCCTCCGGTAGGCATGAGACTTCGCGCCGTAGAACGTCATCCACCCCTTGAGGATTGAAAAGCCACATGTGACCAGTGCGTCAAGGTACATGCACACATAGATCCCTCGGTGGACAGCGTTCGACTGTGTCGGGATGTCTTCAGGTTGCCAGCAGACACACAACACGAGAACGTACTCGCCAGTGAGGGACAAACCAGACTGGGCCCGCATCGCAACAACGTTGGGAAATGCATATACATGCATGACGCTGACTTTGGCATACTTCAAGCTGTCCACAGCCTGCTTCCGGTCCGCGGTGGGCAGCTGAGCCTTGTGTAGCATGAGCATCATCCTGCCAATCAGGTTATCCTAGTAGTTAGTTTGAATACACATCCTCAAACGAACCAGGGAAAATTCAATAGATGCACCACCCACTTCTTGACGCCCTCCATCACTTCCGGCTTCCTGGTGTGCAATTGTGCACTATCGTAATGCACCAACTCCACGCTGCCCTCTGCAGTCTCGGATAGCTTCCCACTTACCATGACGCGCAGTTTCATGGCTATCACAAGCAAGTAGTCGCCTCTGACACATGTACACATCGTGTATTTTAGGACGCGCGCATGTCATAATACGTGCACGGGAAACTGATTTTCTTCAATAGCAGGACAGTACGACGAATATGTCTTACTCGTAGTACACGGATATGGCGAAGTAATCCTCGGCAAAAATACACAGTGCATGGCCAAGGGGCCACGCCTTGTTCAGGGAGGTCGCGAACACAAACGCCTTCGCGTCCAGAGCGAACCATGTCTTGCCATCCTCCAGCTTCGAATGTCGTATGTTCAAAAGGCTGACACACAACGCATAGGCGCGAGACAGGTCGTCAGCATGGTTAGGAAGACAGTATGTGTAACATGGCTAAGGGATTTCGAAGCTGTTAACTTACACGCTATGGAAGTCCACAACGGAGTTGGCCAAACACTGGCCGTCTACGAGGGTCAGAACGTCCTAAGCTGTCAGCTGACAACCCACGCCATGGGGACCGTAGAGCGCCAGCGTCTGAAAATCCCGCTGATAGTTGGGGCTGGCAAGACGGGCCACGACATCGTCAGTTGGCGGTGGTGGCTCTCTACTGCTCCCCTCACGGAGCTGGCTGCCGATGTTACGGTAAGAGGGTGAGGCGACTCCTGCTTCACCTTGCGCTGTCGGCGATCATGCTCCGTCGTCAGCGATGTCGGGGCACTGGCCGCGCATGACGAGTTGTCTCGCTGCACCAGCATACGCTGTATGTTCATCGTGTGCACTTAGACGACTCAAACGCGTACTAATTTGGTAGACGCGAGAGATAGACACGGAGATGAGAGTACGAAAACTAGTCTGCTATAATGGCATCCTAATTGACGACTATACTTGGCAGTTGATGTTCAGGCTCTGCAGAGTCTGTGGGTGTTTCGAAACCTACAGAATGGACAAGGCTAACAAAGATTCCCATAGCGCGCCAGATCCAGGTGGGAAATTGGCGCGGAACCTATGATATGCATGGGGGTCACACGTGTCATGATTTCGTAGCATGCCTCATGTTCTCATTGGGGACGACGATCATGTGGAAGCAAGGTTGCTGCGATGGGACATACTCGCTATTGTTTGTGGATGATGAAACTTGCAAAATGCAACATACTATGAAAAAGACGTTTACATTCATGTCCACAGCATTGCAAACATAGAATGCCACAAGGACGCGAACAGATGGTTCGCCAATCCAATGTGGCATTCAAACCCTATCCACACAAACTCGTTGTACACAGTCGTGCATCATGCCTAAACAACTCCCAAACATGCTGATATTTGCAAGCAGCATAAAACAGAACACAGCACAACCCAACATTGCAATCTTCTCACTAATGAGTGAACATCCTTTGGAACCAAACTCTTTGGCAGTTTTGCCATTTCCCTCCCTCATATAGCCTCATGCTAGGGTCGTAGTCCTCACATTACAATCACAGACGAAGGACGGTGACACTTAATAGGTGTCCGACGCAGACGACTGACGACCAATGCGTTTGACGCACCAAACCGCTCTGGAGCGTCGCGCACATGTATGCCATGCGATTGGGCTTGACGGACAAGATATTCGGTGTCGCCTTGTGCCACATGCCTGCGACAACGACTGTCCTTGAGTAGCGGTCCTGGCTGCGTGTGCAGGGTTATCTTGCGCCCTTCCTCAGAGGCGAGGGTGTCGTTGTTGGTGCGCTGAGCGCGTGGCGGGATCACGGTTTGCTCGTAGCGCGCATAATCCGTAGCATGCATGAGACGGTTGCCACGCCGTGCGAACTCGTCTATGATGTACTGCAGCTGTCCCAGTTCCAGGACAAGCGGTTCGGATAGGACACTAAGAACGGGGTTTTTGAACTCACCCACGGCGGCTCGCCATGATGCTGGCACACAGCCCGCACGCCACCAGCTGAGTTGGATCGAAACCGGAGTAATGTCCTGTCAGAATGTTGTATTTGTCTAGCCTGCAGTGGGGTACTCTATAGCGAGTACAGCCCAATCTAGGGTTTCCTATATGTACTCAACTGCTTGCTAGTGCATCTCCCTTTTCTGCTTCTAGAATTTTCCTCGTGATTGTGACATGCTATCAGAGCGTGTCCTTCCTTGGCCTATGGGCCCACCAACCTGCTTCCGCTGCTACTTGATTTGTCGCACGCCCCGTGGCGTGCGACCTACGGCGGTTTACTCTCTCGCGCGCGCCCCGGGGCGCGCGGCCCCTTTCCTTCCTGGCGCGCCGCCCCCGCTATTTCGTCGCGGCACCCTAGGGAGCCGCGCACGCCCCCCGCCCGTCCGTTGCGATGCCATGGGGTGTCGCGCGCGGCCCCTGCCGTCCTGTCGCGGCGCCCAGGCAAGGCGCGCGCGGCCCCTGCCGTCACGTCGCGGCGCTCTGAGGAGCCGCGCGCGACCCCCTACTACCTCGTCGCGGCGCCCTGGGGAGCCGCGCGCGGCCCCTCGCTGCCCCGTGGTGGCGCCCTGGGGGCCGCGCGCCGTCCCCCTAGCCGTCCCCCGCACTCCTACCCCCTGCCACCCGTTTTAGGGTTTGGGGGTGGGGAGTGTGGGGGTGGCGGTTGTGGGGGTGC